ATTAATTCTGTACTAGGATTAGATGAACTATGTAATATGATTCTTAAACTTTAGTTTTACAATTCTTGACACCAAAAGCACGTTTTGGATATTTTTTAGATGAATTTTTTTCTCCATAATTATTGTATACGTAATTGTGTGAGTTTGGTGGCTTGTTTCATGCATTCGAAAGGAGAATATGTTCAACGTGATTTAAATCATCATAGGGTCTGATAGGGGATAGAAATATACCACTATACCCTATGTGAATCTTTAATTATTCACAAAAATTTATGCATTCTTATATGTTCGTATCCGTTATGGAGATATAGTCGGGTCACATATTGGAATATGTTTAATTTTACTCGAGAGAGATTGTTAAATAAGTTAGGAACATTGATTCTTTAATATTACAATCATGTGTTAAGGTGAAGAACTAGGTTTAGAGAAAAATGTTACATAGGGATTCGTGATCCTAGTGCATTCATCATACATTAGAAAAACTTCACTTTGCATTCGACGTCAAATTCATTAAGTTTAATTCATGAGTCGTAATTGCATCCGCATTACTATTTTAGTTAGAAGTTCATCATAATAAACAACTCATTGTTATTGTTTCGGCTAAGGTCACGATAATATGAATTACAACTAATATCCTTGTGGGACGATATTTGGACTCAAAAAGTCAACTTTATTACTTGTAACGAACCGTACACTTACGGTGATTTTAATTCTATATATTTTAGTGAACAAATATCACACGAATCAATTTAAAATTGAGATGTCAATATTTGTTATCTTTATTTACTCAAATAAATTTGACCAGGAAAAAAAGAAGTGTTAAAGAAAAACCCTGAATTCCAAAACAATGGAGAATGATCGTACTCGTGCTAATGTCCTTTGCAAGTATAATAATTTAAATATGGTAGTCGGTGTAAACTTTACTATATGAATGGTCGCAAATGCACTGATTAGGTGAGTTTGAATTAATTTATTGTCAATTTGTTTTCACGTAGGATAACAACTCCACCCCGGCTCAGCCCCGGCGGCTATAGGCGAAGATATGCCCGTTAATGTACATGTGAAACTATGGTTGTTAGATGAAGAAACTTTTAATTGTATAATCTTAGAAGCATAATTAACAATGTCTCACCCAATCCCACTTGCTCGAAAATAAGTTAATTAATCCATTTCAACTTATACTTTTTTTTGTCCTCAGTTTCCTTTTTACACTTATGCGCCT